CTCGTGTGAAAAAATAGGGAGATTTTATTATAAATTTCAGAAAAATGAAACAAACGACAAAAAGGCAGCGTTGAACTGGACCTGCTCCTCAGGGACACAGGGAATCAGGCACTCTGCAGCCCCAGAGGGTCGGGGTGCACCGTCAGGCTTCTTGGTTTTCCTGGAAAAGAAATTTTCCCTATTGCAGTGCCTGCCCTCGGTGCCATGGGGCACAAACCAACCCCCCCTGATCCTCTTCTCACCCTCCCCTTCCCTGCAAGCCCAACAGGGCAGCAGCTTCCTGGGAATGAGGAGGGAATTTTTGGGATCAGATGGGAGCAGAGGGACCCCACGGGGAAGCTGCTTGTGGTGAAGAATCACCCAAAAATCCTCCACGTGCCAAATACCCGGGCCAGGGAGTCACAAAGGGCTCGTGGCAACCTGCTGGTGGTGGCCAGAGGTGGCACAAGGGGCTCAGCTGGCCCTGCTGTCACACCCAGGCCATGTCCCTGTGCCCTCCAAGCCTTTCCCGTGGCACCAGTGCCATGCAGAGCTCTGGGACAAAAGCTCAGAGCTTGGGGACATCCTTGTGACACTCTGAGGGTGGCATTGTCCTGGGAATCCTCACCTCGTCCTGGGACGAACTGGTGTCACCAGTTGTGCCATCGTCCTGCTCGCTGCCATCCGTGCTGCTCCCAGCGGCTCCGGGCTGCTGGGCATCACAGCTGGCCACATCTGGAGCATCTTCTCTGCTGCTGGCCACATCTGGAGCATCTTCCCCACCACTGGCCACATCTGGAGCCTCTGCTGCCGGCTCCGAGGGCAGCACCGAGCCCTGAGGGTGTGGGACAGAGGGACAAGGTCAGAGCTCAGCTCCAGGGAAGGGCAGCACCGAATCCATCGGAGATTTATGGAATTCAGGCTTGGAGCAACCCCAGAGCTGCCTCCTCCTGCAYCCCSGGGGAYAGGGGAYACMCATYTGGGGCTCTGGRTGATCCCAGGAKTGYCTGCTGTCCCCGGGAWTGGGGCAGGAACACCCACCTGGCCATCCAGGGGCTCGGGGCCGGCGATTCCCCCCTGCTCCTCCAGCTCCAGGTCGGTGTCGTTGTGGGAGCGGTACTCATCACTGTCCGACTCCATCTCCGAGGGCTGGGGATGAGAGAGGCAGAGGGGTGGCCTGAGAAAGGGACACTGCGGGGAAGGACAGTGCCATCCCATTCCCATGGGAGCTGCAGCTGAGGGTGACAGCGACAGGAAGCACAGGGAAACTTTGGTGTTGTGGGACAGGGGACACCATTCCGGGACGGGTGACACTGCTCAGGCAGTGCCCAACTGCTCCTTGGTCACCTTTAAAGTGTGGAGAGGGCAGGAAACCTCCCCAGACCCCTCCTCAGGGACACTCCCGGCATGTTCTAGCTCCACAGAGGCCAAACCATCTCCAAATCGCTCAGCAGCCCCAAAATCCCACCTCGTACGTGATGTCCTCGGAGTCATCCTCGGGCAGATCCCKCTCCAGCACCTCAAACCAGCGCTCCTGCTTCTCCAGAGCCACATCGTCCCTCTTCCTCTTGCAGGCTTTGCCGGCGGGGTTGATCAGAGCCTCCCGGACCTCTGCAGGAATTCCCAGCGATCACCACAATCCCCACAAACCACCCCAAAGGCATCGCCTCGCCCATTCCACGGGAATTCCACACCCCAGCTCTTACCCTTGGACATGTTGCCGTGGCCCCAGTCGGTCGGGACGTAGCCCAGAAAGTTCTGGATGCTGGTGGGGGTCACGGAGAGCAGGAACCGTAGGAGTTTTCCCCGGCGTTTCCTGGCGTGGAGCCCCGGCCGGGCAGGGGACCGGGATGGGGGATGGACTCTGCTCCCGATTGTCCCCACCGGGAACACCAACCCCAGCCAGCTGGATGCTTTCTGAAGGAGCTTCAGCTGCAAAGAGAGGTCTGTCAGAACCTGGGAGAACTTCAAGGGATTGAAATCCTCGGGGAAAATAATTAAATCCTGCTCGGTCTCAAGTGTGGAGCCAAAACTGGGACCAGCTTCAGCCAGGGAGAACAGGAGCTGGGGATTGTGCTTCATCCCCAAAACCCTCCTGCTTCTTCTCGCCCAGGGAAGGGGGAAATGTGGTCTGACAGCAGAAAGGGAAAAAGGCAAAGCCAAACAGGAGAAAAAAGTGGGTAGGGATGCATCAACATGTAGGAGACCTTCCAGGTGATTAAAATCCTTGTCTTTTTAGGATTTGTCTTTTAAAAGATGAAGGGAAAGCCTTAAGCTCTGCTCTGTCACAGTGTGGAGCTGGGATTGGGAGCAGGGAAAACAAAACCTGGTGGATTTGGCTTCATCCCCAAAACCCTCCCGCTTCTTCTGGCCCAGGGAGGGAGGGAAATGTGGGTGCTACAGCAATCGAGAGCAGAAGGGGAGAAAGGCCAGGCCAGACAGAGGAGAAAAAAAACTGGGATAGAAAGGAAAGCAGAGGAAAAATCATAGACCAGTTTGGCTTGGGAAAGACCTTAAAGCTCATCTCATCCCCCCCCTGCCATGGCAGGGACACTTCCCACTGTCCCAGGGTGCTCTAAGCCCCGTCCAGCCCAATATTGGGCACTGCCAGGGATCCAGGGGCAGCCACAACTGCGCTGGGAAATCCATCCCAGCCCCTCCCAGGGAAGAACTCCATCCTAATATCAATAATGTGAAAAGACTAGGGAAAAGAAAGGAAAAAAAAAACCTGGCAAAAAAAAAACCCAAGGAAGTGTCACTGTCGAGGTTTGAAACTCCCCTCCCCAGCCCCAGCCTCACTCACCGGGTATTTGACAAAGCTGAGCTGAAGGATCTGGCCCAGGATCCTGCTGGGGAAGGAATCGCTGCTGCTGGGTGGCCTCACCTGGACAGAGGGAGAGAAAGGTCAGAGAGTCCAGTCCAGCCCTGGAGAGCCCCCAGAAGCAGAATAACCCCGTCAGACACGGACCTGCTCTGGGCTGAGCTGTCCCTGCTGCTCCATGGACTCCAGASTGGACACAAACCCGGTTTAGAGCCCTCTGCCTCTTCAGGGTATTTATAGGGCCGGGCCCATCTGCTCCTCGTTACCCTGACGAGCCGCTGGCCCCGCTAATTGGTGGGGCAGCCCCGAGCCCTCGGGCGGTATCAGCACYGGGGTCTTAATTAAGTGCCCTCAATTAGCGGCTCATTCTCCCTCAGTCGCAGGTCTCTTCCCGGGGGAGGTCAAGGCTTCGTTCCCCAAACCCTCCCACTTCTTTTATTTTATTACTTTATTTCTACTTAAGTATTTTAATTTTGGCCAGAATAAAAGAAAGGAAAAAAAATCCCCCAAGTAGAAAATCCCCAAGAAAGTGTCACTGTCGAGGTTTTAACCACCTATAAATAATTTCATCCAYACATAGCCCWGGTGTGYARAGACAATAATTCCATGAGACAGGAATCCCCCGCTCCTGAGGAAGGCCAGAAAAACCGGGAGGGTTTTGGGGATGAAGCACAATCAAACAGGTCCTGGTTTCCCTGGTCCCAATCCCAGCTCACGCAGGGGCAGAGCAGAGTTTAAGACTTTCCCTGAGGGTTTTGAACACCTGGAAATTCTCCCAGGTGCTGGTGAACCTCTCTTTGCATCTGGTGCAAGGAGCTGAAGGTGATGAAATGCCAGAATGTGCCCTAGTGAGTGCCCCAGTGCTGGAAAATACACCAGTCAAAATTTTTTCAAATATAATTTTAGTGAAGGGTTTCGTTCGCCTTTGCCCCCGAGAAATGGAATTTGGAGTTTTCTTTCCACGGCAAAAATTTAAAGTTTTCTTTCCTTGTTACACCAGGTGAGGCCTGATGGGCTCAACACCCGAACAGACTCGGAGGAGCACCAAAGATAAGGACAATCAGTGACCATCAGTGGCCATTAACGGAACATCAGCTCCAAACCTCACCCCCAGTGCGGTCTGAGATACCCGATCTGGGAAAWGAGAGATAAGAACGAGGGCCTAATTAGCATGGGAGGAGAAAAAATCCAGAAGGAAACCAAATATTGAGAATTATACAACATGAACGTTGTAGCGATGAAGTTCTCTGGGTTTTGACTGCGTGAAGTTTGGGGAAAATATTGTAGAATTTCTGTGTCTCTACACACCCGGGCTACGTGTGGGTGAAATTATTTCTGGCCAGAATGAAGTAATGCCTTGACTCTCTGACACTAAAATGCTGGTGGAAATTTTTTTATTTTATTTTATTTTTTATTTTATTTTATTTTTTTTCTCGCAGTTTCGGTGACCCTGGGATGGCAGAAGCTGCACCCCCGTTGAGGGGAGGCCCCTCTGCACCCCTCCTGCTCTGTGCCCGCGAGGAGATGAAGCTGCTTTTCCTTCCTGCCTCACTTTCCGCCCCAAACCCGCTGTTATCCCCGCGATAACAGAGGAGCTTCCTCAGCTGGGTGACAGCGACAGCGACAGGAACCCACTGTCAGCTCGTCCTTGCCCCGCGGCACGGGGGGAAAGCAAAGCGGCTTCATCCCCCTCATCCTCCGCATCCTCCCATCCTCCGCATCCTCCTCGTCCTCCCATCCTCCTCATCCTCCTCATCCTCCTCATCCTCCTCATCCTCCTCATCCTCCTCATCCTCCTCATCCTCCCATCCTCCTCATCCTCCTCATCCTCCTCATCCTCCTCATCCTCCGCATCCTCCTCATCCTCCCACCTGCGCGATGAACAAATCCCTTCCCCCCGGCCTGGGCACCGCCCGGGGCTGCTCCCCCTTACTGGGAGCCTCCGGGAAATCGAGTGGACCGGAATTTTCACCGACGGGAGCTTTGCTAGACAGAGCTCAAGTGTTTGTCTTGCACCTGGTGCCGGCGGCTGCTGACTCACCCCGCGGAGCTCCGGCCCCTCTCGGTCGCCTCGTGGGTGACAGCGACAGTGACAGCGACAGCGACAGTGCCGTGTCCTCGCCTGGCCCCTTCCCGTGCCCAGGAAGGCGCTGAACCCCTCCAGGGACCCGGCGCTGGCGTCACCGCGCGTCACCACCAGCATAAATGGCCAGCGCTGCCCAGGGAGCCCTCGGGCCACCATGTCCCTCTGCCAGGGCACCCTCTGCCCGGCCGCGCTCCGGGACAGGAGATCCAGCGATGTTTTCTTCCACGTGGTGACCCCCGAGCGCATCCCGCAGTTCATTATCCCGTCCCTGGACATCCACCAGAAGCGGAGATGCTCAGGCAAGGAGGTGGCACAGCTGGACGGGGTGGCACGGCTGGAGGGGGTGGCACAGCTGGACGGGGTGGCACAGCTGGAGGGGACAGCTCGGAGGAGCAGCTGGGAGCCAGCGGTGGAGGATGAGCCCGGCTCCAGCCCATCCCGGTTTAACTCTTCCCGCTCCGCCCCGGACCCCACAGCCTGGGCGGCTCTGTCCCTGCCGCACCTCCCCAAGGTCACCACCCCGTACGGTTTTGTCACSCTGGGCCGGAGCCCGCAGGTCACCAGCGAGGAGGCGTTCTTTCACTCGGGTCGCAGCTGGCAGGAGGAGCCGGGGTGCTGCGGACACCCCGGGGTCCCTGAGGGGCGCTCCGCCACGGGAGGACACCGGAGGGACCGCACTCAGCAGCCGGGTCCCMGTGRCAGCGGTGACAGCGGTGACACCGGTGACGGAAGCAGCGCGACCCCAGCGGGGCTTCCACCGCCCAGATGTGCCAGAGACACCCCAAAAACAGCGGCTCTGGGAAGCCGAGGGGCAGAGAGGAGGGACAGGAGGCTCCTGGGGGTGGGCTGTCCCAGGAGCAGCTCCAGCCCSGAGCTCCCCGCGGCGACAGCAGGGAAGAAATTGTTCCAGAGGATCCTCAGGAGGCATCTCGCCCACCCTCGGGGGGTCTCACTCTGCACTGACCCTGCGGAGCAGCTCTGAGGAACTCGGATTCCCCGAAAATGTGGGGGAAAGGGGCTGCTGTGAGGGCTCGGCCGTGAGGAGCGCGGTGTCACCTCCCCGGGCGTGACAGAGTGAGGGGACACTGCCCATCGCACCGGGTACGGCTGGGGAGGGACACGGCGATGCTGGGGGGCTGCGGGTTTGTGACTGTTCAGGGATCGGAATAAAAGTGAAAACATTTCGGCTGAGCTGTCCTCTCCTTTCTCGTGCCCGTGCCAGCGCTCAGGTGTCACCAGGGTGTTTGGTGACCCCTGCACCCACTCGTGTTGTGCCCCCAGGCTCAGCAGCTCCTGAGCTCAGAGCGGGTTCAGATCGCTGACCCTGCTGGAATGCAGAGCAGGGGACACTCTGAGCCGCAGGAGCTGCAGCAGGACAGGACAGCAAAGTGACCACATCCACTCTGTGGCCACTGGCCAGCTCTGTGGCCATAACCTGGGGGGTTTGAACGCGTCAGGGCCCCTGCCCCAGCCTTGCAGGAGGGACCCCTGCTCCAGCACCCAGCAGCTGTCCTGAAACAGTGACCCCTCCCCATTCCAGAGGGTGAATTTTCCAACTGCTCCCAACCAGCTGCGATAAGCCAGCCAGTCGCACTTTGTTGACTGTTCCCTCATAAACGGTTTTTTATTCGCTTTTTTTTTTTTTTTTTTTTTTTTATTTTTATTTTTTTTTTTTTTTTTTTTTTTTTTTATTGAGCAGCAGAACCTGCAGCGCCAGAATTAACGAGTTCACGGTCAGCAGCTTTTTGGGGCAGCTGAAAGCACAGCGTCCCGGGTCAGCAGGGCCGGGCTGCTGCCACCTCCCCCGGCAGGGTCTGGTTCTCCAGGAGCTCTCCGAGAGCTGGGACTGGGAGGGCCGGGCCCAGGAGCCGCTGAGCTCCCGGCAGGAGCAGCAATCAGGATTTGCWGCCGGGCCATTAACCAGGCAGTTCATCAACCCCCGCCGCGCTGGCGGCGTGACCGCGGACACGTCCCGCTCCTTGTTTTCCCCATCTCCTCCTCCCGGTTCTGCTCCCAGCCCTCTGCCGCTTCCAAGGGAGCTTTTCCCGGA